AACCTTGGACCATTCGAGATTTCTCTTCGAGCTATTTGTTATTTTGTTTGCTTGAGGACAAGCAAAAAGCTAAGTGTGGGGGAGTTGTTTGTTATGTTTTTGTGTTTATTTTTATATGTTTATGTGTGTTCTCGAGTCATTTTTAGGTTCGTTTTGGTGTCGACCGGTCCCTTTTATCGTTTTCCGTGTGTTTTTATGTTTTTCGTTTCATTTTATATTTTGGCGTACTTTTCCGTGCTTTTGGTATATTTTCAGGTTTATCCCGAGGATGAAGAGTCGAGTAAAACTGAATCCCGAAAGACGAGATTTCCGAAGAACTTCGAGATGAGTCGAGCCAATAGCCTTAGTCGAATCTCGCGGACGCACCATTTCCCGCAGCACAACTCGCGCGCTCGCGGAAGGCCCAGCGAGGTCGAGAGTGCCCGTCGCACGCCCGCGATGCCCAGTGCACGCCGCACGCCCGCGATGCCCATCTGCGCCCACGCGCTCGCGGAAGACGCGGCGACATCGACAGTGCCCATCTGCGCCCGCGCGCTCGCGGAAGATACCGCGACATCGAGAGTGCCCATCAAACGCCTGCGCGCACGCCCCTTCCTGCGCCCGTGCCGCCGGCCTCACTCGCGAGCCAACACCAATGCGCGCGACCTCGAGAGTGCCGCAACACCTGCCATCCATGCCCTGCGAGCTCGCGAAGGGAGTCGCAACCTCGAGAGTGTCTTTTTAATTGTGCATTTTTCTAGTGTGTGTTTTGAGTGGGACCATATATATTTTTGTTCCTTTGCATTTTGGACATCCAACTTTCATTATTTCATTTTTCCCTTTTGGGAACTAGCTTATGTTTATGTTTTGCTCTCAAGATTAGGAGCTTATGCTATTATCTGGGAGATTTTCCGGCGACTTTGGTTTCTTTCAAATTTCGAGCTTTTCACTCTGTTTTTCATCGTCTACGTAATGGAAGGATGAGTATTTAGTTTTAAAGCTCTTTACTTCGGTTTTTGCTCCTTTTTTATTTATAATGTTTATTAGGGTAAATTTGGATGTGATTGATGATGGTGGAAAGGTCGAGACTTGATTGCTTGCTTGAGTAGATAGAGGAGTTAATTGCTTGTTGATCTTGTTAAGGATTAAGACCCTATTAGGGCTTAATCACTTAGGGTTAGATGACTAGGGTTAGCAATCTAATGCTTATAGCTCGTTTATTCCTTATGTCGATTAATAATCATCTCGTTATGGTTATGGCATGAGACTCCAATGATCTAGTTTGCTACTTGCTCGTGATTCGATACTGCTTTTAGTCAATTGCTTGTTTTCTAGTGCTCGTTTAGTGACAATCATCCTCCAATCCAATTTCTTAGAATGTTTAGGACTTTATTTGATCTTTTTGTGATTTATACAATCAACTAGTAGATAAAGCTCCGAATAGCCTTCCCTCGAGATCGACCCGAGTCGGGTAACTCGGTTATCCCTTGCCCACCAAATATTTACTAGACATTGCACTGTGGGATAGTTTGGTTTAAGAACATACAAATTGCCAACTATTTAACCAGAACAAATCAAATGATTTCCATAACGAATAATAACCAAGTCATCAAATGTAAATGAAAAACCATCCAAAACAAGCTTAGAAGCTTAAACAAGGTTCTTTCTGAATCTAGGAACATAAAGAATGTTTCAAAACCAAACTACTACTATCAAAAGATAGAGTGACGTCTCCCACTGCAATAGCCACCATTTTCTTGCCATTGCCCATGTAGATGGTGATCTCTCCCTCCTTTAGTCGTCTGGTTTCCTGAAACACCTGCAAAGTATTGCAGACATGATCAGTGGCTCCAGTATCTACACATCAGGTTCTGGTAGGTACAACCACTAAACAAGTTTCTAGAACATTAATAAGAGAGTTACCTTTCTTGAGGAGAGGGCAGTCGACCTTCCAGTGTCCTGACTTGTTGTACTTGTGGCATCTTTCTTTCGGTTTCTTTACCACAGCCTGAGGGGCCGGTCGCGGCAACCAGACCATCTTGTGCCTTCACCGTTTCTATAGACTTCTTTCTCTTCCTGCCCTTGTGAGGCTTGGAAGGTCTAGCCTTCTCGGCGACTAGCATCTGAGGGTTCTAAGTGAACAATGCTTCTGCCGACTGAATCTCAGCTAACAGTTCTGGAAGAGCCATATGCATCTTTTGCATGTTGTAGTTCAACTGAAACTAATCAAAACTCTTCGACAGAGACTGGAGCATATATCAACCTGGGTTTCCCCGACAATAAAACCTTCCATAACCTCAAGCTCATGGAGCTGCGCCATAACCCTTAGAGCATGCTCCCTTACGGGTATGCCCTCGGCCATACGCGTACTCATCAGAGCACTCAAAGCGTCCTACCTAGCATCCCTGGACTAATGCCCAAACAAATTCCTGTGATTGAGAAGTATGTCTGTCGCGGTGTTCATAGACTGATGTTTATGTTCAAGAACATTTGACATAGATGCCAGAATGTAACACTTCACCATCTCATCAGCCTTCTTCCACCGGGCATACTCCCCTTTCTCTTGTTCAGAAGCATCGGCCGCGGGCTATGCCGAGCAAGCCTCAGTGATCGCAAACTCAAAGCCCTCGTAGTCAATACAATGTCTAAGTTCCTCTTCTAATCAATGTAATTAGGACCAGTAAGCTTATTTTATTTTAGAATGACAGATAACGGATTGAACACATGATGAATATAGCTTGAGAATCATGAAAATAATTTTACAGATTAAACACATAGAATTTAATTGTTAATATTGATATCCTCAAAACAATATTAACTTAAATTCACTGACATCTCAAAACACCGTGAGTAATGCATGATACGAGGGTAACCATACACACTCAACATTAGCCAGAGAAAAGCTTTCCAAGAACCCCTTAATTTCCATAAGTCAAAACCAAATTCATGACGAACGAAATTAATAGTCGGTCTCCGTTTGACCATGCAATAAAATTCAGGGACCCCGAGGGGGGTTAATTAATTTAATCACATTCTACCTACTTGTATGTCGTTGCCCTTGGGCAAATTCTCTTACATACATACTTCAAACAAGGTAAATAATTATAGACAATACAATACCCAGTACTGGGTCCCATCTGATAGCTGATAAATGCAAGTGCTGGAACTGAAAATGTGTATCTGGCGGAGACTCGACTCTCCTTAAGCTACAAAATATTTAGACACAATATATTCTAAGTACTATGCTAAACTTTAAAAGTCAGTAATAATATTACTGATCTTTGCTAGTTGTTTGTTCACTCGGTTTTAAAAACATTTAATCTCATTTTTAGAAAATTAACGAGATAAGTTAAACAATTTATATCTTGAGGCTGTCTAAGGTTCTCGAAAAAATTCTCTAAGTCTGTAACTAATTCATGACTTAAACTTGAACTGACAGGCTCGGAAAATGCTTAATTTCCGGCTTGCTCGGACTCGAACTGAATTTCATGAACCGCCAGGGATTGCCAGGACCGGCTCGACTGAACCGGCGATTCACTCGTGAACCGGTTGGTGACTTGGTGCCCCAGCTCGGTCGCACGGGGTCAGGCTGGTGCGGCTGCTTGCAGCGCGCGCCGAACTGCTGGGCACGGCCTCACCAGCGCACGGAACATTAAAAAATAAATATTGTACCAATTAGTGTTTTTTCAAAGAACTTACAAATGGTGTTTCGCAGGGCACCAAAGCCAGTACAAGAAGAATATTGATAAAACTATTGTTTCTTCTCCTGATCTGATATTTTTTTTTTCCTTTTTTCCAGAAAAATTAAGTTTTGATTTCCATGTGGGTCGACATTTCAACTACTCACAGTCGTACATTTCTTATTTCATTATTTAATTGTTCTTTATTTTATATTCTTAAATGCGAAGAATGTACGCGTGAGTAGATAATTAATGCCAACGGGGCTGCCTGTGAGTTGTTTTTTAAATATTTGGCAGGTTATGTTTAGACCAGCACATCAAAAGGCAAACCTTGTACCACAGTGGCAAAAGAGATTTACGGTCTCGTTACGAAACCATTCCGTCAGAATTTATAACTGTTAGATCAACTATCCATGACGGTTAAATGATAATCTGACGATAATTCTGTAACAGAACTTTAGCATTTCCTTAATTTAATTGTGACATTACAACATTAAACTGAAAAAACAAAATGAAGGAAATTACAGGACATATTGTAAATTACGAAAAATAAAAACTACACGCATTTAATAATCTACTTGTAATAAATCAAAGGGAAAAATCTTTTTCACCCCAATACAAAGACACATTAAGTTTTTTCATACCGTCCAATAAAAAGCTACGTTTTTCACCCCGAAAAGTGTGAAGGTTATGCAAAAACTGTCGCATATTCATAGCATAACTGTAGTATATGCGAAGGTTATGAGAAAAACTTTCGCATATCAATTGCATAATTGTCGCATATTAATCGCACAATGTCTTCGCACTTTAACTTTTTTTCACCCAGAAAGTGCGAAGGGATATGCGAATGCCTTCGCACTTTTAACTTTCGCACAATACTTTTTTTTTCGGTACAATGAAGGGGCCTTTCGCACAATATTTTCGCACAATGTCATCACGCAATTGTCGCAAATTCATCGCACAATATCTTTCGCACTTTTTGGGGTGAAAAACTTAGTTTTTTATTGGACGGTGTGAAAAACTTAACAAGACTTCAAAACGGGATGAAAATAGCTATTTTCGCAAAATGTAAATTACAAATAAATACTATAGAGTAACATTTTTTCACACTACAATGGCATGTGTACAGTAATAAATACAAAAAACCATCAAAAAATTTGGTTGCCCCTCAACCTACTTTTCACCTCCCCTCTTTGTCCTCAATGTATAATTGATTTACGCTAAAATTTACTTTTACAGTTTTACCAAGTAAAAAAATGAAAAAGAATAATAAAAAAGAAAAGGGAAAGAGGGGAAATGAACAGCGTTGAATGGAGGTGGAAATAGCAGCAAAATTGAAAGCTATTCCCTCAAAAAATTCCTCACAATTGTGGCAGTAGGCTCCACCACTTCCTTCTCCCACACTTCCGGCGCCGGTGCTCCGTCGAGCGTCGCCCGCAGCACCGCCGTGGTGTCAACCCGCTGCATCTCCCACCCCAGCCCCTCCCTCAGCCGTCGGATCTTCTCCACCTGCCTCTTCGCGAGCTGCCACGTGTTCTCCTTGATTTCGGCCACCGCCGCCTCGTACGAAATCTCCCCTCTGAAGTACCGTTCGAATTCCGGCACCCCAATCGCCTTGTTCACCCCGCATTTACTCACGCGGCGGCCCGGCCCGAGATCTTTGAAGTACTCGGACAACTCGTCGAACATTCCCGAGTCCAGCATATCGTCGACTCGTTTCGCGAGATATTGGTCCAACACCGGGGGCGACACGTCCACCCAGATGAAACAGCAGTCGTACCGCAACTCGTTGCAGAAAACCGGGTCCGACTCGGCGAACACGTCCGAGTCCGGATTGTATTTCTCGGCCAGCAGCGAGTACACGAACGAGTTCGACCCGCCGGCGAGGAAAGGCAGCTGGCTTCGGGAGGTCATCTCCGAGATGATTCTAGAGGCGGACGAGCGGAAATCGGACGGGGTGAAATCGGGGTGCGACTCGGACGATTCGAACCTGCCGAGCAGGTGGTGTCGGACGTTTTTCCGCTCGCGGAGGGGGACCTTGTTGGTGGTGATGTCCAGGCCGCGGTAGACTTGGATCTTGTCGGAGTTTATGATCTCCGACGAGGGGAAGAATCTGCTGGCCAGGTCGATGGAGAGCTTCGTTTTTCCGCAGCCAGTGGGGCCAAGGATAACGACCAGTTTCTCGCGGCAGCCGGAGGAGGCGGCGGCCGCAGCGGTGGACATTGCGGCCGCGGCCAATTTACTTGCCGGTTTTGTGAGTAATGAGTGTAATCTATTCATTGGGAAACTGAATTAGATACAAATTAATGTTTATGAATTTGTGAGTTCAATTGTGCGTTGCTTTGTGCTGAAATTTTGGAGTGTGAATGAGTGATGATATTATTCATATGTTGTGCGTGCCTTTGCGAGAGTGTTTGTTTCATGTATATATATAGGCGCGCGGTTGGTTACTGTTCGTGGCGATATTGTTTTTCATTTGTTTATTATTAATTTTAAGGAAAAAAAAAAAAAGAACAATTAGTACTACCGATTTAATAAAATAGTTTTTCTTTTTATTTTTTATTTAAAGTTATGTCACAGTATTAAGCGAAATAAATACAGTGTGGATCATTACTCAATTCACAGCTTCCCAAGTTCCCTCACGTTTTCCTCGACTCGTGATTTTCTCTCCATGTAAAGAAAGCGTGGTTTAGGAACTTTCAAAACCTCATTTTTTTGGTTCTTTTCAAATAAATATTATCATATCTTAGATTGAAATGTTAACTAAGAAGGGTATGTTTGGAAAAGTAGTTGATAAGTTAGCTGATAGATGATAAGCTAGCTTACAGCTTATCAGTAACTTTCGAGCTTATAGCTTGTAGTTTATGACTTACAGTTCAAAGGTTAGTTTGTATGATAATTGTGTTTGGTAAAAATTAGCTGATAAGCTAGCTGAAATAAAAATTTCAACGAGTTTATCTGAAAAGCTACCTAAACAAGCTTATGAGAAAAGCTCGTCCTACCAAACGAAATTTATTTAAATACAAGAAGCTTATAAGCAAACCAAATATTCTATTAACTAGCTTATAATCATAATTATAATTATAATAATCATAAGTTATAAGTTAACTTTAAACAAATTAAGCTAGTTATAAGCTAGCTTAATAATAACAATAATAGTAATAATAATAATAATAATAATAATAATAATAACAATAATAATAATAATAATAATAATAATAATAAAATTTATGTACTATTTGTCTACTAGACATAGCCTAAGACCGTATAAATAAGATTACGACATGTACAATAGAATAAATTATATATTTTTAGCAAAATTATTTAAGACAGATCGACTCACTTAACGATTAGATCACGGCGAAAATTTAATTTTGGTCCGCTAATTTGTCCATTGTCCATTTTTTGTCCGCTAACTTGTCCTTCATAAAAATGGTCCATTATGTTACACTTTTCATTAGTTTTAGTACACTATTCCAGTTGGCAGGATTACGAGATGACGTGGACTGGGATTAGAACTACGTGGAGGGATAAGATATTGACGTCGTAGGATAAAAACCTGATTTGGCATCTCGTAATCCCGGGCCACGGGATTAGTGTACTAAAACTGATGAAAAATGTAATATAATGGATCGTTTTTTACGAGGTAAAAGATAGTGTACCAAAAGTGGACAATGGACAAATTAGCATACCAAAATTGAATTTTTGCATTAGATCACTATACCAAAATTGTGTATACGTTCCAATTTCTTAATGATTAGATCACCATAGCAAAATTGTGTACACGTTCCAATTTAGAACATTGGATCCTCAAAGCTCATAGTTAGAATACAATTGCAGGGCACACTATACACAACCTTAGATTATCATCTAAAATATAATATTTCCTTTATTCTACATAAAGAGAAATTGAAAGAAAATGTACTTCAATATAATCCGGATCCAGATTAGCATTACATATAATTCGATAGATAAAAGAAATAAAGTCACACCATTAATACTATTTCATACCTTAATGATGGCAAAATTAGATTTTCGGTCCTTAAATGACACATATAATTTTACATTTACTTATCAAATTATATATTTCATATTATTGATTTTTTTTTTGTTTGTCAAAAAATTAGATATTTGATCATGTGACCATCTATTATATTATCGTGAGTGTGTTGTGACTTGTGACAATTAAAGTGTTACTCGAAATACCAAATGAATGCGGTGTATTTTTTTTTAAAAAAAAAAAGACAAGTGGGACCTATGGATCTATCAGGCTCCCTGAATTTTTAAAATGTTTCCATACAAGTATATAGCTGTACTATTTTAAAAATAAATAAATAAATAAAAGGTGGACACGAAAATGTGAAATTACAAAATAATATATTGTGTTAAGGACATCTTAATAGAATTTAAATTTATATTTGTTATTCAATCTCTTTAGTCAATTAGTATATCTCCTTCCAAAAAAAAATAAAAAAATCTTAGCATTTGATTACAAATAAAGCAGTTTTTTATATAGCTAAAAGTTGGATTCATAGTATATAACCAACTTGTTATACATACATATAACAAGTAAAAAATACTATGAAAATGAAATCCGATTGTATTTTTGAACTAACTAAAAACATGATTAGTCATAATTTTTAAGCATGTCATTGCTCGAACATGTCTTGAATCGCGAAGATGGTGTGTCTGTATTTGATTTCTTGTTTTTCTTGCATGGAGAATTGGAAAATGGATGAGGTGAATATAATGTGGATAATGATATCTTTTTGAATTCTTGTCGAGGAAACAACGAAATAACATGAGTATTGACAAGCTACGGCGGACGAGTTGTTGAATTTCGGTGACAAAATGAGCGAGCATGAATCCATCAAAGAAGAGTGATAATCGGGAACGAATCATGATGGTGCCGATCGACGGTGGCAATTTCAAAGGCAGAAATCATTATCTTTTGGAAAGGTAGGATAATTTGGAGTGGTATTCTCAATCTTCATGTATAAAATTAATCCCAACTCTTATCGGCGGTCAAGTTTGATAGACACGATTTATTGACACATTGAGTCTCTTAGCATTATTTTTTGGAGAAATGTTCATTGTTTTGGGAGGAATGTTACTAAGATTGTGGTATATATGGATATGTTGAGAATTATTATTCGGGTAACTAAAAAAATGCAAAAAACGAGGTGTACGTGGAGCCTTGAACAAAAATCTGGCATGACTTTTCGGGCTGGCCAGTTTCGAGTCGTCATGACTAAGGAGCTCGGTATTAGGAGTACTTCATTTGAATTTTCATTTGGTGCATTCGTTTAATGGTCATTTGTATATGCAGAGTATGGTTTGTTGTAATTGTTTGTTGAATTCATGGTTTTGTGAAATTCTGGTTGAATGTACCTTGGAGTGGGTGTTTATGTGATTTCATATCTTGGTAAAAATACTTGTCTGTAGATTGAGGTATAGTACAAAAACACGTAAACCAATTTTGCTTTGATTTATTCATCTCTTGTTATTATTGCTATCGGAATTGCAAATTGGATGATGCTGATAAAATACGACTAATGGTGTTTGTTGAAATTCTTGCTGAGGAAAAATACATGAGCATGAGGACTAGATATTTACATACACTTCTTGGTTGCGGTGGGGAGTTGACAACGAGGAGTAAGCGGCGAGCATATCGTCATGTACAAACAAGAAAGACAGGTCGAAAAATATTCTAAATGGTTTTAATGATTATTATCTCGTTCTATATAATTATGCATTTGGTGAAACTAATGAATATGATATATTACTATCCTATCTTGTGGTGTTCTATGTGTTTCTTTTCGAAATCAATGGCAGGTCGCCATGCTCGAGTTGTTGGAAAGAAACAATACGGCATGACTAAGGCCGTGAGGCTGGGTGAGCGCATGTATCGACCACTCCTTTGAGGGTGAGCATGTGCTCGAAGACAAAATCCACCATGACTAAGGTCATGAGGCTGAGTGGTCTCATGTATCGACCACTCCTTTGAGGGTGGGCATGTGCTCAAAGAAAAATCTACAATGACTAAGGCCGTGAGGTTGAGTGGTCGCATGTATCAACCACCCATTTGAGGGTGGCATGTGCTCGAAGACAAAATCTACCATGACTAAGGCCATGAGGCTGGTGATCGCATCTATCGATCACTACTTTGAGGGTGGCATGTTCTCTAAGATAAAAACCACCATGACTAAGGTCGTGAGGCTTAGTGGTCGCATGTATCGATCACTCATTTGAGGGTGGACATGTGCTCGGAAAAAAAAATCGACCATGAATAAGGCTGTGAGGTTGGGTGGTTGCTTGTATCGACTACTCCTTTAAGCATGTGCTCGAAGAAAAAAATCTACCATTACTAAGGCCTTGAGCTGAGTGGTCGCATGTATCGACTACTCCTTTGAGCATGTGCTCGAAGAAAAAATCCACCATGACTAAGGCCGTGAGGCTGGGTGGTCGATCCTAGTGTTGGGTCGTTGAATACACGGAGCTTATTGGAGACCTTGGAGGCATGTCGATGATTTTGGCTTGGTTTTGATTTTGTCGAAATTGTTTTTCGACCTTAGTGGTAGGTCGATGGAGTTCATTTGGAGCAATACACGAAGCTTATTGGAGACCTCAAAGGTAGGTCGATGATTTTTTATTGGTTTTGATTTTGTCGATATTATTTTTTAACCTCAGTGGCAGGTCAATGGAGTTCATCTGGTGCAATTCACGGAGATTATTCGAGGACCTCGGTGACAGGTCAATGATTTTTTTACATGATTTTGGTTTTGTCGAATTTATTTTTCGACCTCAGTGGAAGGTCGAGAGAGTTCATTTGGATAAATTCGTGGAGATTATTGGAGGACCTCAGTGACAGATTGATGATTTTTACATGACTTGGTTTTGTCGAATTTATTTTTCGACTTCAATGGCAGATCAATGGAGTTCACTTGGATTAGTTCATGGAGTCAGGTCATTAGATTTTCAACCTCAGTGGCAGGTCGAGAGGGTTTAGATCTCAGTGTGGCGTGAGGATATTCGGCTTGAGAGAGGATAAACAACATGGTTGTATTTTAAATTTTGAAATGAGGGTGACAGGAAGAGGTGGTTGAAATGTTTATCTCTGAGCAAATAGAGCTTGAACATGGTGGCTTAGCAACAACAGATGTGAGTTCAAAATTTCAAATTCAAGACTTCGGATAAAGATAGAGAAAATCTATCAAAGTATCATGGAAGTCCAAACAATCAAGTCGAGAGATATCTAAGGAAGGTTGACATTGCAAAAT